ATGTTGTCATGCACACTAGCAGGGCATCTGGGTGTTGTTCATGCAACACTTAGCAAGGCATCAGGGTGTTCGTTCCTGCCACACTTTAGCAGGATTCAGGGTGTGGTCTATCACACTTAGCAGGACATCAGGGTGTTGTCATGCACACTTAGCAGGCAATTCAGGGTGTTGTCATGCACACTTGCAGGTTTCGGTTGTTGTCATGCACACTTACGCGGCATCAGGGTGTTGTCATGCACACTTAGCAAGCATCAGGGGTGTTGTTCATGCACACTTAGCAGGCAATCAGGGGGTTGTATGCAAACTTAGCAGGCATCAGGGTGTAGTCATACACACTTAGCAGGCATCAGGGTGCTGTCATGCACACTTAGCAGGCATCAGGGTGTTGTCATGCCACATTAGCAGGCATCAGGTGTTGTCATAGCACACTTAGCAGGCATCAGGGTGTTGTCATGCACACTTAGCTCAGGCATCAGGGTGTTGTCAAGCACACTAGCAGGCTTCCAGGGTGTTGTCATGCACAACTTGAGCAGGGCATCAGGGTGTTGAGACTAATGCACACTTAGCAGGCTTTCAGGTGTTGTCATGCCACTTAGGCAGCATCAGGGTGTTGTCATGCACACCTTAGCAGGCATCAGGCTGTTGTCATGCACACTTAGCAGGCTTCAGGGTGATAGAGAGTAGAGAGTATACAAGTTAGCAGAGGCGATCAGGGTGTTGTCATGCACACTGATCAGGCACGGGTGTCTGTTCATGCACACTTAGCTGGCATCAGTGGTGTTGTCATGATAACACTTAGCAGGCATCAGGGTGTTGTCATGCCACACTTAGCAGCAACGATGAGTGGTGTTGTCATGCACACTTAGCAGGCATCAGAGGTGTTGTCCTGCACACTTTAGCACGGCATCTGGGTGTTGTCAAGCACACTTAGCAGGCATCAGGGTTGTTGTCATGCACACTTAGACAGGCCATCAGGGGTGGTTTGTCATGCACATGATCAGGCATCAGTGAGGTGTCATGCACACTTGCTGGCAATCAGGGTAGTTGTCATGCACACTCTTGCATGGCATCAGGGGTGTTGTCATGCACAACTTAGACAGGCATCGGGTGTGGTCATGCACACTTAGCAGGCATCAGGGTGTTTGGTCATGCTACTTAGCAAGCATCAGGGTAGTTGTTCATGCAACAAAAATAAAAGATCAACGAAAAAACATAAAAATACTTAGGCAGGGCATCAGGGTGTTGTAATGCCACACTTAGCAGGCATCAGGGTGTTGTCAATGCACACTTAGCAGGCCATCAGGCCGTTGTAGCAGTCATGCACACTTAGCAGGCATCAGGGGTGTTGTTCCTGCACACTTAGCAGGCATCAGGGTGTTGTCATGCCACACATTAGCAGACATCAAGGGTGTTGTCATGCAACTTAGCAGGATTGAGGGTGTTGTCATGCACACTTAGCAGGCATCAGAGGGTGGCTGTCATGCTACACTTAGCAGGCAGAGCAGGGTGTTGTCATGTCACCACTGATCAGGCAGCAGGGTGTTGTCATGCACACTTAGCTGGCTATCAGGGTGTTGTCATGCACACCTTAGCAGCATCAGGTGTTGATCATATGCAGAATCACTTAGCGGATCAGGGTGTTGTCATGCCCTCATTAGCAGGCATCAGGGTGTTGTCATGCACACATTCGCAGGCATACAGGTGTGTTTTGTTGATAAATGCCACTTAACAGGCGATGAGGGAGAGTTGTCATGCACACTTAGCAGCATGCAGGGTGTTGTCATGCACACTTAGCAGGCATCATGGGTGTTAGAGTCAAGCCACACTTAGCAGGACATCAGGGTGTTGTTCATGACACCACTTGGGCAGGCATCAGGGTGTTGTCATGCACAACTGATTCAGGGCTCAGGCGTGTTGTCATGCACACTTAGCTGGGCATCAGGGTGTTGTATGCACACTTAGCAGCATCAGGGGGTCTTGTCAAGATCACACTTAGCAGGCATCAGGGGTTGATCATTCAACACTTTAGCAGGCATCAGGGTGTTGTCATGCATACTTAGCATAAGCATCAGGGGGTTGTCATGGCATACTTAGCAGGCATCAGGGTTTGTCATGCACACTTAGCAGTTTCAGGGTGTTGTCTTGCATATACCTGATCAGGCATCAGGGTGTTGTCATGCACACTTAGCAGGCATAGGGTGTTGTAATGCACACTTAGCGGTTTCAGGGTGTTGTCATGCACACTTAGCAGGCATCTGGGTGTTGTCATGCACATTAGCAAGCATCAGGGTGTTTTTGTCATGCACACTTAAGAGGCATCAGGGTGTTGTCATGCCACTAGCAGGATCAGGGTGTATGTCATACACACTTAGCAGTCATCAGGGTGCTGTCTTGCCAACACTTAGCAGGCCATCGGGGTGATGAATCATGCAACACTTCAGCAGGAATACAGGGTGTTGTCATGCAACTTAGCAGGCATCAGGGTGTTTGTTGCAACTTAGCAAGGCATCAGGGGTTGTCATGCACATATGTGGCAGGCATCGGGTGTGTTGTCATGCACCTTGTGACAGCATCAGGGTGTTGTCATGCACAATTAGCAGGCTTCTGGGTGTTGTCATGCACCTTATCAGGGCATCATCGGGTGTTGTCATGCACACTTAGCAGGCATCCAGGGTGTGTCATGCACACTTAGAGGCATCCAGGGAGCTGTCATGCAAACTAGAGGGCATCAGGGTGTTTGTCATGCACACTGATTCAGGCATTCAGGGTGGTTGGCATGCACACTTAGCTGGCAAATCAGGGGTGTTGTCATGCACACTTAGCAGGCAATCAGGGTGATATTGTCATGCACACTCTTAGCAGGCATGTGGGTGTTGTCATGCCACACTTAGCAGGCACTCAGGGTGTTGTCATGCCACTTAGAGGCATCAGGGTGATGTCAAGCCACACTTAGCAGGAATCAGGGTGATATGTCATGCACACTTTAGCAGGCATTCAGGGTTTTGTCTTCACACTGTATCAGGAAGATATGGGTGTTGTCTGCCACACTTAGCTGGCATCAGGGTGTTGTCATGCACACTTACGCAGGCATCGGGGGTGTTGATCATGCACCACTTTGCAGGCATTCAGGGTGTTGTCATGCACACTTAGCAGGCATCAGGGTGTTGTCATGCTACTTAGCAAGAATCAGGGTGTTGTCATGTAGAACTTAGACAGGCATCAGGGTGTTGTCTTGCACACTTGCAGCATCAGGGTGATTGTCATGCACAGCTTAGCAGGGCCATCAGGGTGTTGTATGACACTCTTAGCTGGCTTTCAGGGTGGTGTCATGCACCACTTGAGCAGGCATCAGGTGTAGAGTCAGGCACACTTAGCAGTCATCAGGGTGGTGTCATGCTACACTTAGCAGGCAAAGTGGAGGGTGTTGCATCATGCAAACTTAGCAGGCTTCAGGGTGCTGTCATGCACACTTAGCAGCATCAGGGTGAATGTCATGCACACTGCATCAGGCTTCGGGTGTGTCAGGACATCACTTAGCTGGCATCAGGGTGTTGTCATGCCACAACTTAGCAGGCATCAGGGTGTTGTCAATGCACACTTAGCAGGGCATCAGGTGTTGTCATGCTCACTTAGCAAGGCGCATCAGGGTGTTGTCATGCACATAGTTTGCAGGCATTCAGGGTGTTGTCATGGCCATTAGCAGGCATCAGGGTGTTGTCATGCACACTTGCAGGCATCAGGGTGTTGTCTGCACACCTGATCAGGCATCAGGGTGTATAGTCATGCACACTTAGCTAGAAGCATCAGGGTGTTTGTCATGCACACTTAGCCAGAGACATCAGGGGTGTTGTCATGCACACTTAGCAGGCATCAGGGTGTTGTCATGCCACTTAGCAGGCATTCAGGTTTGTTGTCATGCATACTTAGCACGCATAGAGGTGTTGGCATAGCATTACTTAGCACGGGCCAGAAGACAGGGAGTTGGTATAGTGCACACTTAGCAGGCATCTGGGTGGTAGTGCTCATGCACACTTCAGGGCAGGCATGACAGGGTTGTTGTCATGCACACTTAGCAGGGCATCAGGGGTGTTGTCATGCACATTAGCAGGCATTCAGGGTGTTAGATCATGCACACTTAGCAGACATTCAGGGTGTTGTCATGCACACTCTGAGCAGGCATCAGGGTGTTGCATGCCACTTAGCAGGGTTGATCAGGGTGTTGTCATGCACACTGGTCAGGCTCATCGGGTGTTGTCATGCACACTTAGGCAGGCAACAGGGTGTTGTCATGCTAAACTTAGAGCAGGCAATCAGGGTGTTGTCAGGTAATTCAGGTTAACAATTCTTCATTTGAAGTCAGTATCTCATAATTGTATATCAGTCTCAATGGACTGTTGCAAAAGACATTAATTAAATATTTTAAAGAGTTAATAAGAAAAGCTTCTTGCAGCAGTGTGTGCCACTAAGGACATTTCAGTTTCACATTGCCTACGAGGATAAAGAGAGTTGACTACGTCGGCGCTCTGCTCTTTCTCACTTTTTCTCTATTTTATTTACTTTTAAAGGTCTGGAATGCTGTCTCATTTTCATCACCTGCTGGAATAAGGGTGTCCTCTATGACAAGATTGCCATGTTTGCCATGAACTTGTAGAAATAAATCGTTATATTATTATTATTATTTTTTATTATTATTTTTATTATTATTATTTTATTATTATAGAGAGAGATAGAGAGAGAGAGGAGAGAGAGATTATTATTTATATGATTATTATTATTATTATTATTATTATTATGATTATTATTATATTATTATAATGAGCCAGAAGAAGAACTCTGCTTTTATAACGATCCCTCAATACATTATACAGTTAATTATTTGACTAAAATTTATTGATATATACACTGGGTTTTGTGATGTTGTTGTTGCGTTATGAGAGATAAATTAATTACAAGTTTAGGTATAGCGGAGTTAGTGTTATAAGTTAATGTTTAGATGTACAGCTGATGTGATGACCACGAGGGTTGGTGACTGTTGTTACCAGCTGCTGCTGTTGTTACGACCTGTGACGCTCTACCTCAACTGACACTATTAACTGAGTTAATAAGCTTCATTGTAGGTGAGTGTGGTGTAACACTGGTTGTAGTGAGCTGTGAACCAACACTAACACAGACTTTCATGGAACATTGCAATGAACACCGCCATTGTTGTGTTGCAACACTATCTCTATGTCATACTCCCCTCAAGGAAGGTTCCTTGATGTTGGTGAGGGGCTCTTGATTTAGGGAATTGGATCTGTGCTCCAGTTCCCCGAATTAAGCCTGAATGCCTTCCACATCCCCCACCCCAGGCGCTGTATAATCCTCCGGGTTTAGCGCTTCCCCTTTGATTATAATATAATAATCTATGTCATACTAAACAATACAACCTGATCTATGTTTAGCCTAACATCCTTTCCAGAAGTTAAGTTAAGTTAACCTAACTTAACCTAACCTAACTTTAGCCTAACCTAATCTTAACCTTGGCTTGGTGACTGAAGTTCTCGCTTCACACGGCGAAGGGTCTGGGTTCGAGTCCCAGCGAGGGTAGAAATATTGGACGTGTTTCTTTACACCGGTTGTCTATGTTCACCATCAGTATAAAATGGGTACCTGAGTGTTAGTGGACTGGTGTGGGTCGCATCCTGGGACAAAACTGACTTAATTTGCCCGAGATGCTCAGCATAACAATTGGCTTTCTATATAGTAGTAGTATGTATGTCATTGTTGTCAGCTAGGACTGTACCTTGTACATGTAGTAAATAAAAATATTAGTATAATAGTTTTATTATTATTTAATTTACTTTATTGACTTTATTAGCTTAAACCTAACTTAACTTAACTTTAACTAATGTTACTAACTGTACCTTGAATATACTTAAATTGTTCTAACTTAACTTGATTATTACTTGAACTTATTAGCTTAACTTTTGAACTTATTAGCTTGAACTTATTAGCTTGAACTTATTAGCTTGAACTTATTAGCTTAACTTATTAGCTTGAAACTTATTAGCTTGACTTATAGCTTGACTTATTAGCTTGAACTTTTAGCTTGAACTTGTTAGCTTGAACTTATTAGCTTGAACTTATTAGCTTAAACTTATTAGCTTGAACTTATTAGCTTGAATATAGCTTGATTATTGCTTGAACTTTTAGCTTGAACTTGTTAGCTTGAACTTGTTAGCTTGAACTTATTAGCTTGAACTTATTAGCTTGAACTTGTTAGCTTGAACTTATTAGCTTGAACTTATTAGCTTAAACTTATTAGCTTGAAATTGTTATCTTGAACTTGTTAGCTTGAACTTGTTATCTTGAACTTGTTAGCTTGAACTTGTTAGCTTGAACTTGTTAGCTTGAACTTATTAGCTTAAACTTATTAGCTTGAACTTATTAGCTTGAACTTATTAGCTTAAACTTATTAGCTTAAACTTATTAGCTTAAACTTATTAGCTTAAACTTATTAGCTTAAACTTATTAGCTTAAACTTATTAGCTTAAACTTATTAGCTTAAACTTATTAGCTTAAACTTATTAGCTTAAACTTATTAGCTTAAACTTATTAGCTTAAACTTATTAGCTTTAAAACTTATTAGCTTAAACTTATTAGCTTAAACTTATTAGCTTAAACTTATTAGCTTAAACTTATTAGCTTAAACTTATTAGCTTAAACTTATTAGCTTAAACTTATTAGCTTAAACTTATTAGCTTAAACTTATTAGCTTAAACTTATTATTTATTAAGTTAACCAAACCTTAACTTAGCTTAACCTAACTTTAACTTAATTTATTAACTTAAACTTATTAACTTAAATATATTAACTTGTTAAGGAATAAGGAATTTATTTCTTTGCATAGTTTGCAATGTGTAATTACAATTTTGGTTTGCTAAGTACAAAGAAAGTCACTGACGTGCCGGGGCATTTCGGGCAGACTGAACTTAATGCTTAATAGACTACTGGACCTGGAGTTTACCTGGAGAGAGTTCCGGGGGTCAACTCCCCCGCGGCCCGGTCTGTGACCAGGCCTCCTGGTGGATCAGAGCCTGATCAAGCAGGCTGTTGCTGCTGGCTGCACGCAAACCAACGTACGAGCCATAGCCCGGCTGGTCAGGAACCGACTTTAGGTGCTTGTCCAGTGCCAGCTTGAAGACTGCCAGTGGTCTGTTGGCATGTATATCATTGTTGGTTCGAATAGAACAATGTTGTTTTATATTTCAACTGAGGTAGTAATGATTTAGTAGTAACTGAATTATCAAATAACTGATTAACAAGTTACAGTATTATATAACAGTATTATATAACTTGTTAGCTTCTTAACTTATTAACTTAACTGAACCTAAGCTACTGAACAAACCAAGACCTAACCTTATCTGGCATTTCCCTTAATAATAATAATAATAGAATGATAATTATAATAATAATAGTTCAAATTGGGCTTAATAACTAAGGAACAGATAAAACAATATATGCCAGTGCTTGCCAGTTTAATAAGGAAGTCTAAACTTTATCATTCAAGCAGATTTAATGAAATAAAAGGGGATATGAAAAAGACCTGGAAAACACAGCAAAATCCTGGGCTCTCGAAAACTACCCAAAACCAGAGTACAGTGGACCCCCGCCTTACGATCAGCTCCCAACTCGACCAATTATGTAAGTGTATTTTTGTAAGTGCTTTTGTACGTGTATTTTTGGGGGTCTGAAACGAACTAATCTAATTCACAATATTCCTTATGGGAACAAATTCTGTCTATAACTGCACCCAAACAGACCTCTGGAATGAAATAATATTGTAAGGCGGGGGTCCACTGTATTTCTATATAATACATGTATGTCATTGATGTTAGCTATAGTCTGTATACCATGTACATATAATCGTAGAAATAATTCATAAGTGAGTTTACTCGTTCCTAGTGTCTCACAATTTACTCAATACCTGCTAGCTTGATTTTAGGCTGAAAAAAAGGACAAATGATGCAGTTACAAAAGTGCTTGAACTGTCTTATGCAGCTCTTGAAAATAATGAATATCCTCTGAGCCTTGTTATAGACCTGCTGAAAAAATTTGATGCAGTGGACTACAATATCCTGCATCTTAACCCCTTGACTGTCGCAACCCCAAATCCTGAGGTGTCTCCTGGTGTTGCAAAAATAAAAAAAAAAAAAAAAAATTTTTCTTATGAAATGATAGAGAATATTTTTCCGATGGTAATGATGCCAAAAGTACGAAATTTGATGGAAAACTTACGGAATTACGCTCTCGCGAAGTTAGCTACCTTGGCGATATTAACGAATCAGCGATTTCCCCCACTTTGAACACTGTTTTTGGTCAATTCCATTGTTCCAGCCAGCCAAACTCATAGCTATTTCTTGAGAACTCCATTTGTTCTATCGATTGAGTACAAGAAACTGTCCATTTACCGATTTCAACTACCCAATAAAGTGGTCAGAAATTGGCAATTTGGCAAATTTCATGAAAATCAAAAAAAGAATAATTTCAAAATAGGATCCAGAATGAACAATGTAGACATTACTGGCTCTAAAATAACATTTTCTTTGTTCATCAGTCACGTCTCCAGGCCCCTCTGATATTACTCTTGCTTTCTATTTTGAATTTTTATTCAAACAAAAAATAGATTTACTGTTATGCAGACTACTGTAGTATTGTAATACTAATTGTAAAAATAACATCAGCCCATTCATGACTGCATATTAGAATGGCTAGTTGGACATTTATTGGACAATGACATCATTTGTTTTCTCTTGAATATCGGCAAAAATCAAACATTTCCTCTACATCCTTTTCATAGTCAAACCAATCAAAATCGCCTCTATTTCTATGATATGTTTTTCATTCTTTTAAATGTGACTATGAAAAGGAGAATATAACCATGAAAACTATACGAAAATACACCTCAAAGTTGGTGTTTTTATCCAAAAACACGGACGGAGTTTTTTTTTTTTCTCATTATGCACTACGTGCTGCAGGATTTTTTTTTATATGGTGCACCGTTAGAATTTTTCAGTATATATATGTCAGACACGGTGGCTCGTAAGACGTATACATATGACTGAAACAGTCAAAGGGTTAATACTATGATCATTATTATACTAATACTATGATGGGTCATTCGTGTAGCGCTATGTTAAGTGGAACATTTGTGGTTCTGTTTCCAAACTGAATGAAATAGGTTTTGTCAGTATTGAGTGTAGGCATGTTAGTCATCATCCAGGTAGATATTTTCTGCAATTCAGCATTAGCCCTTTCAGGGTCTGTTCCGTAGATCTACGGCTTTATGTTGTATCCAAATCGTAGATCTACGCCATGAGCTCAGCTCACTCTTATAAGCTGTGAGTGGTAAATTTGGGCCTAGATATGAGAGAATACATCTATGTGGTATGTGTGCACCACATAAAACAAATCCTGCAGCACACAGTGCATAGTGAGAGGGAAAAAAACAGACCGTAATTTTTGATTAAAACAGCAACTTTGCAATGTTTTTTTGTATGTTTTTTATAGTTGTATTTGTGATTTCTGGGTCTCATTTGATAGAATGGAAGATAAACTACAGAAATAGAGATGATTTTGATTTTTTTTTAGTGCTGAAAATGGCTTGAAACTGAACTCAAAGTAGCGGAAGTGTTAAATTTTTGCCGATGTTCAAGAGTAAACAAATGACCTCACACGTCTAATACACACCAGCTGGTGGGTCTAATATACGTTCACAAATGTGGTGATATTATTTATACAATTATTACAATATTGCCTGACAGTAAATCTTCTATTTTTTGGTTTGAAAAAAATTCATTATGTGAATTAAAAATCAAAATGGAATTCATTTGTAAAGCCTGAAAACGTAACTAATGAACAAAGGAAATGCTAGTTTAGTTCCAGGAATGTCTGCATTGTTTATTCTGGACCCTATTTTGAAATTGGAATATTTATTTATTTATTTAATGTCTTTGCACAGTACATTGAGATTGTTTATATACAGTAGTGGGATGCAATGCAAAGAGAGCCTCTATTATGCCTTGGCATTATGGGCCAACTTAACATTATTGGCTTACATTCTACTTAATTCTAAGGA